GGGGAGGGGACGAGGAGGGGGACGAGGGGGGACTCAGTCGAAGAAAAGGGGGAAGGGGAGAGGGGACGAGGAGGTGGAGGGGGAGGGGGAGGGGACGAGGAGGGGTAAAGCCCAGACCCCCTCGTGTTGTGAACAGATAGCGACGGGAGGTTTTTCGCCAGCCCTTGCCCGGCCTCGGGGCCGTCAGAAAACGACTCAGATGAAAAAGCGGTCCCCAGGAAGGGGTCCAGACCTCTGGGGGCCGATGTTGAGCAACAAATTCACAACGTTGGGGGTCTGGTGGGGAGGGGGGACTCAGTCGAAGAAGAGCAAAAAGTCGTAAACATAGCCTGTTGGCACTTCGCGAGGATTTCTCGGATCCGCCCTGTGCCCCCCGGCGGCGCCTCCGGCGCCGCCCCTGGCGCGCTCGGGCTGTGAAGTAATCACGACGGGAGGTTTTTCGCCATTTTCAGCCTCCGGGGGCCCTTCCCGGGCCTCGGGGCTGTCAAAAACGATTCAGGATGAAAAACCGGTCCCCGGGACGGGGTCCAGATCTCTGGGGGTCGACGTTGAGCAAAACATCGCGACGACGGGGGTCTGGGGGGAGGGGGGACTCAGTCGAATAAGAAAAAACGCCATATGCGAATTTGTGGTGCTCCGCGCGGATTTCTCGGATCAGCGCTGGGCCCTTCTGGCGTCGCCTCCGGCGCCGCCCCTGGCGCGCTCCGCGCGCCAGGCAGGGGGGTCCAGCGCGGATCCAAGAAATCCGCGCGGAGCGCCAAAAGTTTGTGTGTTTACGTCGCTTCCTCTGCTTCTACGCAGAGGAGGAAAAAAGGTACCCATATCGCTACCCGTCCCTCGTTTTTCCCTTTCCTGGGCCTCCGGGGAAACCTTCGTCGCCACGGCCGGGTTCGCCTCGAGATATCCTGGTCAGGACGCACCCCGGGAGAGGTCCAGGGAGCATCGGTGTCGGTGCCTTTTGACCTCCCCAGGGACGGGGGAGGGCGGGCATTATTTTGCGTGGTGCCGTTGCAGACCTGGGCTCTCCTCATCGCCGGGCGAAGAGGCCTGTGCACGTACACCGATCCCGTTCGGGCTTGGGCACAAGGTCGGTGCAAGTGCCTCCCTGGCCGAGCCAGAAGAGCGTGTGCACCGATCCTGGGCTCAGCATGGGCCTGGCCAGGATCGGTGTATGTGAGTACTTCTTTTGCTTCTATCATCAGTTTCACATTTCCTCGTGGACCTAGGTGCTTGTCCTGATTTCGCCGACGAGTCGGTTCGTTAGCTCAGCCTGGAACCGATGGACCTGGCTGGCTCGCGCTCCTCCGGGTGCGATCACCCAGATCTCTCTCTCGACGCGCGCGACATAGGCGTTCGAAGAAGGCGAGCAGATGGGGGCGGAATATTGGGAGCAATGGTCCGCAACAGCCAAATTCCCGAACTGGCAAGCTGAGATGCTATCACAAGCGTCACGGTTCGGACGCCGTGTTTGCACGTCGTTGTGCAATACACAAACATGACGTGGCGTTGACGGGCGCATGGCCACTGTCGGGCGTGCCCCTCTACAGGAGGCGTGCTCAAGAATAGTCAATTCACGTAGTCAGGGGACGATTTTTGTTGGCTGCTTTCCGGCCACTTCTGAGCATCCCTGGAGCACGCTTTACCTTTCGTCCGAACTCCGCCCGTGGGAGGACACGCGCGACCCAACACGGTGCCTCGCTGTCCTCCCCCCCCCCCCCCTGGCCGCCCCCCCGCCGGCCGCAGGCCACCACGCCCCTGTACAACTCGGTGGTCCTCGCGGAGCCGCCGGGGGGGGGGGGCCCGGCCAGCGAGGGCCGAGTCACGGGGGAGGACAGACCTCCTACCCCGACACGTCGATTCAGGAATTGGCCGGCTTCGGTTCGCGAGAGGGCGCTGCGGCCGTCATCTTTGCGGGTCCAGGTCCGTCGGTTTCGGTCCCCGGCCATTTTCGCTAAGGGGAGGTCTACTAAAGGGAGGTTTGTCCACCTCCGAGAGTCACGGAGCAGCGGCAGCCGTGCGAAAAGGAGCAGTGGCAGGAGAGTGCGATCAGGAGGAGGAGGAGGAGGAAGATGATGATGATGAGGAGGAGGAGGAGGCCTTGGGTCTAGGAGGGAAGAGTCATGGCGCCAGCATCGCAGAGCGGATGTCGTTCGGAAAACGTCAGGATGGGCCCGGAGTGTGTCCCGGAGACTGTCGTTCCGGAGTTCGGGGCGAATTTCGGGGGGATTTTCTTTGGCCAGGAATGGAGACTAACAAAAAATCCACGCGAAATTCACTTCGTTTTTCGCTCGCCGTTTCGGGGTTTTGCATTGACAGAAATCCACGCGAAAATTTGCTGCAGCACGTCTGCAAGGTCGGTGTAGTCAGAAAAGGCACATTGACCGAATTATTCGTCGATTCCCAGGAAGAGATAGGGGAAAGACGACAGCCCAGAAAAGATGGGGAGATAGGGGGGTCCTGGGGTTTGTGTCTAGCTATTTGTGTGTCCCTGGGCCCCTTCGTGTTTTGCGGATCGGCGCGGGCCCTCGCGCCCTCTCCCCCCCCTTCGCTGGAGTAAATCTTGGCTACTTTGGGCGCCTGCCTCGATCAAGCAGATGAAATCTCCCCCACGCAGGGCGCACTGTTGCAAACAGTCGCATGGAGCTGAGGTTCGGAGCCAGACACCCCCACTCTCCCTCTCCCCCTCCGCCCAGTGTCCTAGCGCCGAGCAGGAAAACGTGTTCACAAGGGAGGACAGTGTAGCGCAGACCAGGGGGGCCACGCGCCATTCTCAAGAAGAGCCGAACGAGTTGAGCCTCAGATCCTGACCGCTGCGGCTGGATGCCTACTGTCCGCCAGCCCATCGATGGCACGGCCAGTGGCAGGGTTCGGAGCCTTTTTGGGGGTAGGGGGTGCCTGAGGGCGCCGGTCTTGGGAGATCCTGGGGCCACTCGGGCCCCGCACTGCCCACAAGAAGGGAGGAAGGGAGGGGAGGAGGGAGGGACCAGGTACTGACGTCAAAGGGGTTCTCTCCCCAAGGTCGCCGCCACCGATGCGAGCCAGGTCCGCCCTGGGCCCCGCCCCGACAAGGGGGGCCGAGAGGGTCGCGGGAGACCCCCGAAGCCGCCCCCTTTGCGTGGATATTCAGCTACGGGCGCCGGGGCAGCTGGAGAGTTTGAGGGAAGGACGGAGGGGGGATCAGGGATGGGAGGGCGGGGGTGAACGGCACTGTTTATTTTTTTTTTGCACCGCGGCTGTTGCAGAAGTCGCTGTTTTTCTGCCACTGCTGCCTGGACGACACTGTTTCGAGCGCGTGCGGGCCGAGATTGTCTTTACCTGCAGTGAGGCAATGAACTCAGAGATCGCGCTAGCATTTCACACAAGTTCTGGAATCTGCAGTCGACCTTTGTTTTTCGCATGTATCAGCTAGGGATGCCGTGCCTGCCGACGCACATCGTGTCAGGCATGATCAACGCGTCGCTTCCCTCCACCGTTAGGGCCTCGTGGGACGATCGTGAATCGACTAGAATCGACTAGTGAATAATCTGATGTTCACGCCTCGCCTGTCCCTACCAGCCCACCGAGGCCCCCTCCCGGATGCCTTTTCTGATCCTATCGTGGGTATATACGGGGCGATTCGAGTTCTCCTCTTTCCTCCTCCTTGGTGCGAGGGCGTTGCGACAAGCTGGGAGAATTCTCGCCGAGAGCATGAAGGGAGGAGGAGGGAGGGAGCCTTATCCGTAAGGGCTTCGCCCCATGCCACCAGCCCCCTGTCTCGGATAATGGGAGATGCAAAAGCTAAATCATGAGGTCTGGGCGCCGCCGTGAAGGAGTGTCGGGACCTGTTTGTTTTTCGACCCTGACTTACGGATCTGCGTGAGAGGTGCCACCGAATTTCAGAAATGTGGCAAAAACCATGTGTTTTTGGACCCTGACCCTGCGGATCTGCGTGAGGGGTGCCGCCGAATTTCAGAAATGGCAAATCCCATGTGATTTTGGATCCTGACCCTGTCGATCCGCGTGAGGGGTGCCACCGAATTTCGGAAATGTTGAGAATCCCCTGGGTTTTCGGACCCTGACCCCGCCGATCTGCTTGAGGGGTGCCACCGAATTTCAGACATGTTGCAAATGCCATATGTTTTTGGACCCTGACCCCGCCGATCTGCGTGAGGGGCGCCACCGAATGTCAGAGATGTTGCAAATCCTTTATGTCCTTGCACCCTGACCCCGCCGATCTGCGTGAGGGGTGCCACCAGATGTCAGAAATGCTGCAAATCCCATATGTTTTTGGACCCTGACCCCGCCGATCTGCGTGAGGGTTGCCACCGAATGTCAGACATATGGCAAATCCTATGTTTTTGAACCCTGACCCCGCCGATCTGCGTGAGTGCCATCGAATGTCAGAAATGTGGCACATCCCCTGTGTTTTTGGACCCTGACCCCGCCGATCTGCGGGGTGTCAGTTTTTACCCACCCCAGCAATTCAGACAACACGCTCAGGGCGTGCTAAACCTGCCCGTTTGGGCCTCCCCCCCCTCGCGCGGTCCATCAACAAGGAACAGTAAGCAGCACGAAGCAGAAATGTAACAGTGGAAACTGGAAGCTGCAACTGGTACAGGAAACTGCGAACCTTCGGCCTACAGCCTGGTGGCCCCATAAGGGGGCCGGCGGATTTCCTACACGGAGGCGCAAATAGAGAAACAAGGAGGCGGAAAGAGGAGAGGGGACGATGAGGAGACGGAGGCGGAGGACGAGGAGGGGGTCAGGGAGGAGGCTGCGGATGAGGCAGGGAGGATGAGGAAGAGCGGAAGACGGAGGAGGGATGCTGCGTCGACCACGAAACAGTAGCCATCAGCGCCCAGCGAACGGGAGGAGGAGGAGGAGGAGGAGGAGGAGGAGGAGGAGGAGGAGGAGGAGGATAATTATGAGGATGGGGAGAAGCATTAGAAGGATGAGGAGGAAAAGGAGGGGGAGAAATATAATGAGGAGGAGGATCAGCCGGAAGAGGATGAGGATGAGGAGGGGATGAGGATGAGGATGAGGGTGAGGATGTTGCTGTTGCTGATGGTGGTTGCAATGGTGGTGGTGGTGATGCTGATGCTGCTGCTGATGATGTTTCTGCTGATGCTGATGAGCATGATGATGATGATGCTGATGATGCTGATGATGCTGCTGATGATGCTGCTGATGATGATGACGATGCTGATGCTGCTGATGATGACGATGATGATTATGATGCTGATGATGATGATGATCATGATGATCATGACGATCATCATGATCATGCTGATGCTGCTGATGATGCTGATGATGATAGGGTTGAGGATGAGGATAACCATGAGGATGAGTACGATGCCGAGTATGATGATGAGGATGAGGATGATGATAACGAGAACGAGTATGATGCTTATGATTATGATGTTGTTGATGATTATGATGATGCTGCTGCTGCTGATGATGATGATGATGGTGATGGTAATAAGGATGATGCTGCTGATGCTGATGCTGATGCTGATGCTGATGCTGATGCTGATGCTGATGCTGATGCTGTTGCTGATGCTGACGATGACGACGACGATGATGATGATGGTTGTTATAGTATGACGATGATGATGCTGCTGATGATGATGCTGCTGATGATGATGATGATGATGATGATGATGATGGTGATGGTGATGATGATGATGATGATGATGATGATGATGATGATGATGATGATGATGATGATGATGATGAGGAGGAGGAGGAGGAGGAGGAGGAGGAGGAGGAGGAGCAGGGCTTTCTCGCGGCAGGTTTGAAGGCTTGGGGTCCGCTCCCGAGGCCATGCTTCCCGCCCCTGTCCTGCAAGCTCGAGGCCCGCCTTCGATCAGACTTCCCATGCTGCCCCTTGAGAACTGTGATTGGGTTATGGTGCGCCGACAACCTGGGAGCACTTCGTGGCTCGGTGCGTCACCATCCGTGAGGCATCTCGACGATTACGGACTTGCGCGCAGCACGGCACCGCACGGCGCCACACGACACCACACGAGCAACTTGCTCGACGCGGCACCACAACGGCACCACACGGGCAGTGGGCCCATACCAGCACCGTGCGGCACCACACGAGGGCAGGTCCGACACGGCACCGTCTCCGACATGGCGCTACGCAGGAGGGCGTGGTGCCGCGGGCAGCGCGTGCGACACGGCACTGGGCGAGGGACGGGTCGGGGCCGCACCGCTCGGGCAACAGGCCCGACAGGGCACGGCACCGCACCGCGCCGCGATGCATCGCACGGGTGGGGGCTCGGCAAACGGCGCCACACAGGTGAACGCATTCGAGCGGGCATTTCACAGAGCAGTGGGGGGCAACGGGATCGCCACGGCACCTCACGGAGCCGTTGGGGGGCAGCAGGCTCGCCGTGGGCACCTCGCAGCATCGTTTGGCATCGCGCGGCACTTCGTGGGCCACGGGTTCGCCTCGGCACTGGACAGCACCACGCGGCACCACACGGACCGCGGGCTCGACAAGGCACCGCGCGGCACCGCACGTCTCCATTCGGTTCCACACGGGTTCGGCACACCACCGTGCAGCACTCGACGCACCACACGGGCAACGGCTTCTACACAGCACCACGCGAGACCATGGCATGTGAGCAACGTGTCCGAGAGCTGTTTGGCCATAATAGCGGGATTTGATCAGGAATGGACGCAAAGGTTTTGCAGCATCCTTTATTGTAGTGGTCTCCGGCCAGTGCCGCCGATCCGGGACGCTTCCGTTTTTGCCAGAAGCGCACGATGGCGGTCATGACCGGCGACGACGGCGAGCGGTGAGGATGATGATGAGGGTTCGGAATGGGGGCAACGGAGTAGGATGATGATGATGATAAGGAGGAGGAGGAGGAGGAGGAGGAGGAGGAGGAGGAGGAGGAGGAGGAGGAGGAAGAGGAGAAGGAGGAGGAGGAGGAGGAGGAGGAGGAGGATCATGATGAGGTGGAGGGGGTGGAGGGGGAGGGGCAGGAGTAGCAGGATGCTGAGGATGAGGAGGAGCAGGAGGAAGCGGGAAGTGGAAGAGGGGGAGGGGGATAAGGAGGAGCATGACGAGGATGAGGAGATTTTCGGCGGTTGTTGGCTTTGGGTGGGCACCTCGCCGATTTGGCGCACTCTCTGAAAAGCTTTGCGCGTCACCGGTCTCTGCTGGGAGCCATGGTGTTTTGGGGTCTCTGGGGCCTTCGCGCGGTCCTTTGCGGGCCTTTTGTGAGATCATGGATGCGAAGGACACCGAAGACGGGAGAAGTTGTGAGAGCTCGGAAGAACTTTTTGGTATTGCAGCGTTTGTGTTCAGACGTAAGCGCTGTGAAAGCATTGGGGCTGGTCTTGGGCTTCTCGGGGGGTCTTGGAGGCAGCTTGGAGGCCTCTAGAAGGCGTCTTGGATGCATTGTTTGAGATCCCCGGGGGCCTCTAGGGGGCTTCAGGGGGCCTCTTCGGGGCCAGTTGGAGGCGTCTTGGGGCCTCTTCGGGCCTCTTGCGGGCCTCTGGGGGCGTGCTGGGGGTTTCTTGGGCCGTCTTCGGCACTTCCTCCGTCTTGGCGCCCTCTCAGGCGCCTCTTGGGCCCCCTCTTGGGCCTTTCCGGGGGCCTTCTGGGCCATCTTGGGCCCTTTTCGGGCCGTCTTGGAGCCCTCCTGGCGGCTTCTTGGGCCGTTTGGGGGCTCTCCGTGGGGCGCTCCGGAGGCCAAAAAGGCGAATCTGCTAAAGTTGTACGTCTCCCTTCGGGAGTGGGACACTTGCTGCGTTTTTGGGTCTTCTTTGGGAGGCCTTGTCAGGGCTTTTGGGGGCATCTTGGAGGCTTCTGTAGCCGGGTGTCTTGTAGCGATCGTTCGGCGACTCGGGGCCCTCTTTGGCCCACGTTGGAGCCCTCCTGGGCGAAGGGGCCGTCCCGGAGTGAGCTGGATCTCCGATTCCGCCCCGGAAATTAAGTCGACCCCCCCCCCCTCACCCCGGCAGAGCCACCCCGGCACCCACCCCCCAGTAGAGCTGAAACTCTGGAATTGAAGTTCAGGCTATTCAGAGGGTCTTGGAAAAACTCACGAGCCGGATCGGCGGATTTTAAGACGGGACATCGGTCTGGGCCGTGGCCGTTGCGGCCCAAGCAGCATTCCCCCCCATCTATAGAGAGACGGAGATGCCCTCGGCACAAGTACAGCATGTGGTTGACGACAGGTGCTGTTGTCGCGGCTGCAACCGCAGTCGTCTCCTATAAGTTTGTGCCCGCAGCCCCGCCGCTGCCGACCTTGGGTGCGGCAGCGCCCGATTTCACCCTACAGATGCACACCGGCGCGAACTTCACGCTCTCCAAGGTGGTTGCCGAGCGCCGCCGCGTCCTCTTGTGGTTCTACCCAATCGCCTCCACCCCCGGGTGAACCGCGCAGGGGAGGAGCTTCCAGGACCTCCTCCCCCGCTACGAGGCGCTGATGGTGCACGTCGTGGGCATCAGCACCAACTCGGTGGCCGCCAACGCAGCCTTTGCCGAGGCGCAGGGCTTCACGTACCCGCTCCTGTGCGACACGCGCGGCGAGGTGGCCCACAGCTTCGGCGCGGCCCGCCTAGCCGGCCCGCCGGTGCGGGCCCTGTCATACCTCGGCGTGGCCCTGCCCGCCAAGCGCGTCGCCGTGCTCGTCGGCGCCGCGGGGAGCGTCGAGGGAGCGTGGCCGGACGTGGACGCGAGGCGCTTCCCCGAGGAGCTGCTCGCGGAGCTGGAGGGCGGCACCAAGGGCGACTAGCGCGGGCAAGATTTGCATCCATGTCCGTTGCGTCTTGGAGTCCCGGGCTCCCTTTCCCAGAAACCAGAAGCGCAGTGGATATGGATTCAACATCTGGCCTCTAGAGGCCAGATGTTCATCCATATCCACTGCGCCTCGGCCTTTTGGCGCCCCTTCCCAGAAACTCCAAAACGCAGTGGACATGGATACAACTCCTGCCCGCAACTAGGGACTAGCTTTGGAGGCGGCCGGTGGGTCTGAGCGGGGTAGGCCCAGGGGCAATCGGTCGAGAGGGGGGGGGGGCAGTTTCGCTCAAAATCGGTCCCCAGACCCCTCCCAGCGTCCAGACCGGCAATCGTTTCGAGCCGCGCCCAGGGTGGCGACGAGGCGGTCCCCGTCTCCCCCTGTCCTGCTGGCGCTGGAATCAGCGCTGCGCCACCTCGGCTCCCCGACCGGCTCCACCACGCAGTAAGAGTTCTCGGGGGTGGACAGACCTCCTACCCCCCTGACGCGTCGATTGGTGAATTGGCCGTTTCCAGTGCGCGAGAGGGCGTCGCGGCCGTCACTTTTGCGGGTCCAGGTCCGTCGGCTTTGGTCCCAGGCCGTTTTTTGCACTAAAGGGAGGTCTACGAAAGGGAGGCTTATCCACCGCCGAAGTTCCTGGTCGAGCCCACGGTCGCGGAGGCTGGCGCAGCCCTCCTCGCGAACGGTGACGACGCTGCGCTGCAGCCGCCGCGGCCCCGGGTGCGGCGGCAGGCCCGCGTCTGAGTGCACCCGCGAGCAGTGCGGCGCGTCTCCGCGGCGGCTCCCGCGGGCTGCGGCCGGCGCAAAGGGAAACGTTCGGTCGATGTCCTCTACAAGCCACCCTCAAGCTTCGAGCTAGAGCCAACGCGCCTAGTAAGGACGCGCGCCTTCATGTGGGGTACCCTTGTGTCCTTGCCTCTGAGGCTCGCCCTTGCCATTATCACTGGTCGCCTGCCGCCCTAAAAAACCCAACTTCGGCCTCCAAGGGTCTCGCGTCCTTATCACCCGTCCTTAATCTACGTTTTGACTGTAGTGGCATTGGATCCGAACTGGAGCTGCCCTCTTCCCCCCCGGCGGACCTCGCCGCCGGGGGGGGGGTGCAAAAGAAACGCAAGAGGGGGGACAAACCTGCTTCCCCCTCCTCTATAATCATGCTTAGGCGAGAAGAAAGAGTGGAGCTCAGACCGGCGCCTTCGTGGTGGCGCTGGTTGGCTCGCCCGTGGGCGTGCGGTGGCGGGCACGACGTGACAAGCTTGCGGGACGAAGCGGTGGCCAGCCTGCTGGCGGCGGGGCGAGGCGGGGGCCAGGCGGTGCGCCGGGGCGTGGCGGTTCGCCCCGAGCCCCCCACGCCTCCCACGACAGTGCAGCACGCAGAGGGCGCCGGGCCCCCAGCGGAAGACCACGGCTGGGGCTCCGCAGGGCGCTTTGCGCGTGCTCTTGCCGGGCTCGGCACTGGCCCACTGGCCCCGTTGGCCAGAGGGCCAGGAGGCGGTGCAGAGGGAGAGGAGAAGGGGCAACAAGGAAGGAGGACGGTGGAGGCGCCGGTGTAGCCTAACAAAAGCTTGCTCGGTGCAGTGGCCGGGTGGTGGAAATCGGCCACGCGCAGAGGGGGGTGGGGGGAGGGGGGGGGGCTTCTTAGAAGCACCCCTGCTTCTCAGAAGGCGCGGGCCTTACTGTACCTGTAGATGTAGGGCCGGCGCCCTCTGAGAAGCAGCTTCCCTCTGAGAAGCCCCCCCCTCCCTCCCTCCACCCCCTCGTGCGCGCCGCGAAGGGAGGCCTGGCAGGGCGGTGCCCACGGGGCTGGGACGGCGTGCGCGGCCCCGTGCTTGCACGCTCCACCCCGGCGGCGCCGCCGTCCCCGCCCGGCCCGCGGTGCGCACAAGGCCTTGTCGCGCGGGCCGGGAGCGATCTCGTGCAGACCTCCTGGCGTGAGGCATGGGGACAGTCGTGATCGTTCTTTATTCACTGTCTTGCCGACCGGCGCGGGCCCCCCAACCCCCCTCCCCCCCCGTGGAGTAGATCTTGGCTGTTTGGGGCGCCTGCTTCGAGCCGGTGGAGTCTCCTCTCCCCCACAGGGCGCACGGCTCCAAACGGAGCCAGACCCCCCCCCCTCTTCCCTCCCCCTTCCGTCCAATGTCGAAACGCCGAATAGAAAATTATCCCGGCAAAGCAACCTAACAGCGATGTGTAGAAGCATAGCTGGAAACATTGCCTGTGGTATTCATGTAAGAGTGCTGTTGTAGAATTCTGGTGTTCTCGCAGTCGCATTCGGATTCGCAGTGGCAGTCGCAGTGGCAACATCAGCGGCAGTCGCAGTGGCACTGCCAGTAGTTGCAGTAGCAATAGCTACACTAGCAGCAGCAACAGCAGCAGCAGTAATAGTAACAGTAGTAGTAGCAGTAGAAGTAGTAGTGATGGTAGTAGTGGTAACAGTGAAGTAGTAGTTGTAGTGTGTGGAGTGAACGAGTAGGAGTGATGGGAGCAGTGGTAGTAGCAGTAGAAACACTGCTTTCGATAACGGTATCTCCAAATGAGATCTTTGTATAAATGCATTGAGGTCTAAACAAGACACTGCTATCAACGGATGTGATTCCAAACGAGACACTGCTATCAACGGGTTGAGCCTCAAACGACACACTTGCATCAATGAGTGTAGCTCCAAAACAGGCACTCCCATGAATGGATTTAGTGTAGTAGTGTAGTAGTAGTAGTAGTAGTAGTAGTAGTAGTAGTAGTAGTAGTAGTAGTAGTAGTAGTAGTAGTAGTAGTAGTAGTAGTAGTAGTAGTAGTAGTAGTAGTAGTAGTAGTCGTAGTAGTAGTAGTAGTAGTAGTAGTAGTAGTAGTAGTAGTAGTAGTAGTAGTAGTAGTAGTAGTAGTAGTAGTAGTAGTAGTAGTAGTAGTAGTAGTAGTAGTAGTAGTAGTAGTAGTAGTAGTAGTAGTAGTAGTAGTATGGGCACGGACCCGTAAGACCTGAGTCTCCACCGGGGTGCTCGGCGAAGCCGTTGATGATGATGATGATGATGATGATGATGATGATGATGATGATGATGATGATGATGTGATGATTGAGGAGGATGATGGGATGATGACCGCGCTACTTGGATTTGTTGTGTCCGTCTTTCTCGGCCTCCAACCAAATCTTGGAAGACATCTCGCAAACGGAAGAGGAGCGCACTGAGGAGCGGAGTGTGAAAGCGGACAGTCGGCAAAACTTGCAGGCTGAGAAGCACCGCAGAAACTCGGAGGCTGAGAAGCACCGCGGCCGCGCAGTCGTACTACTGCTGGAACTAGGATTACAAGTACGCGCGCCGAGAAGCACCGTGGACACGTGGGCTTGGATACTTCACCTCTCCCGCTTGTATTGCAGGAAATCGCGCCAATCCGGCGGCTGGACCGAGGAGGCGCAGGCTGAGAAGCACCGCGCGAGTGCAGGCTGAGAAGCACTACGCGAGTGCATGCCACGGCATTGCGTGTCATGCTCCTGCCGCAGGCTGAGGAGCACCGCTGTTCAATGCAGCAGGGTCAGGAGCACCGCCGCCAGACCGAGAACTATCAGCATGTCCTGGCATTAAGGTGCGCAGTAGGCGCTGCGCAGTTCCTTTGAAAGGAAATCTTCGAAAGCAGGGATGTAGCCAAGAAGGCTACGGGGACGATGATGATGATGAAGATGATGAGTCTTGGAAGTCTGGGAAGTGGAAGAGCACGAAGAAGTGGCGTACAGTTGGCTCCGGGCATTCAAAATGTGGCCCCGGAGTGGAGTTCTGGGAAGTGGAAGAGCACGAAGTGGCCTACAGTTGGTTCCGGGCATTCAAAATGTGGCCCGGGAGTGGTGTTCTGGGAAGTCGAAGAGCACGAAGTGGCCTACAGTTGGCTCCGGGCATTCAAAGTGTGGCCCGGGAATGGAGTTCTGGGAAGTCGAAGAGCACGAAGTGGCCTACAGTTGGCTCTGGGCATCCAAAATGTGGCCCGGGAGTGGAGTTCTGGGAAGTCGAAGAGCACGAAGTGGCCTCCAGTTGGTTCCGGGCATTCAAAGTGTGGCCTGAGAATGGAGTTCTGGGAGGTCGAAGAGCGCGAAGTGTTTGACGGTTTGGTTAAAACGAGCCCGGCCCTTGCCTGTCCGGCTCCCGCCCAGACCCCCCTGGGGAGTCATCAGATGATCTCTTTTGACCCCATTAGAAACCTATCAGTCTTCGCTGTTAAGTTAAAGCGCTCACATCCCTGAGATCCGACGCTTCAAAATATGATTTGACGCTTCGCGTATCCCCACCAGCCCCCACGGTACCTGAGTTCGAATGCGCTTGCTTCGGGCTCCGCGTTCCTGGTAGCGCGCCGCCTCCTGGGTTGGCCCGGCGGTGGAAGCGCTCCGCTAGGTTGATGCGTGGCAGATACAGAGCTGATCATGTTCTCCTGGCGTGCAGGACTTAATTCGATTCTGGCGTTTTGGAGCCATTCATTCGCATGGTGCATCAGCTACCCTGGCCGTTTGCAGTCAGCTCAGCCAGCTCCCCTTCAGCCTGCGGCCCCACCGGCGGCTGCTTCTGAGTGCGGGCGCGGCCGCTGTGCTTTTTGGCTTGCGCGTTGCTAATTTGACAGGCCCGTGGCCCGGACCTCTCAGCTCGGCGAGTGCGAATCCGCGTCCGCCCGCGACCGAAAAAATATCTTCACAAGCCCATCCAGGAACGATCAGCAGGGGAGTTGGTAAATCAGGGACGGCTGGAAGCATGCAGTTGCGCGGCCGTCTTCAGAAAAACAAGGATCATAATAGCTTTCCGCATTGAAGTTTAAGACGGAAATCAGTGCAAGGTACGACGTAGTGTTCCCTGTTGTCAACGTTTCTAGCTCAGGTGGCCGTATCCGCCCTGGGCCATGAGAAGCAAGGATCACGCGCAGCTTCCCGCAGGGATGTTTAAGATGGAAGCCAGTGCAATATACGCCGGGGTGTTCCCTGTGGTAAGCGTCACTATCATTCGTCGCCCTTGTCGCACATGTGAGAGTCG